GTGGAAAGGTCCCAGAAACCCCTTTAAGCTGTTAGGTCATATCTATGTCCCAGCTATATTCAGGGCCCCCGGCAGAAGCCAGAGTGGGGCTTCAAATAACGACAATTGCATCCCACATTGGGGTGACAGATTTAGTCTGCATTTTTTTTTTCCTTGTGAGATAAGATTCTTGGTAAAGGCTGCCAACCAAACCACATGAGAACGAGTGAACAGTGACACTATCAGACAGGTTGTCTTAAACAAATAATTCTACCATCATATGCCTACGGGTGTAAAAAGGGTTACATTCATATTAGTTAGTTAGTTAGTCTTTCCTCTTGTGTCGAGTGCGGCACATAGGGCAGAGGTCATGACTCTCCATGCATGGCGTGTGTTGCAATCTGTTGTAGGTCTTGGATGTTTGAGTGGCCCATGAGTGAGCCTTCCCTGATGATAGTTCTTCGTAGGGTTTCCCTTGGTCTTCCACGAGATCTTTTCCCCTGTGGTGTCCAAATTAGGGCTTGGTAAGGAAGTCTTGATTTATCCATTCTAAGGGCGTGGCCGACATAGTTCCAGCGGCGTTCATATAGCGATGGCCATTAATTAACACACTGCCCTGCTGTTTTTTCAGGCCATTTATTGTGGGACAAGGGAAATAACTCGACCCTCCAGATGATCAATGGCAGAAAAAACATTTTCTTACTTCCCTTCCATCACTATTTATAATAGGGATGACAGCGGTACGGTTGATACCGAGAAATAGATTTATTGAACACAAACGAAGTCGGAAAGGGACTAGACGGCATACAGATAACAACAGAGCATTTCAATCTAAATATCGGCAGCTAAAACAAAAATAAACCTAAGCTATAGCGCTGAAGGGAAGCCGCAATGGTGTAGCGCCCAATGACTCGCCAACATATCCAAAGGGGCGAATATTTAATAGTACTTTCCGTGATCAAGTTTGTCAGTTTTTTGAAGCCCTACTCTAGCTTTGCTAGTGGCTGCAATATAGCCTGGCCATAAATATGGCCTAAAGGCTGCACGCGGTTTCTGGGACCTCTCCACGACGATCCTCACCCACATTGTGTCATCGGGTGCTTATCGCTAGTGTGATGTCCTGGTGGGGTAGAAAGTCAGTCAGTTAGTCAAGGTTCAAATGCGGTGGCAGTTGGATTGTGTTTGCAGAGATATCTGCATCTTTAAGACCAAACACATCTGATGTTTAGCAAAACTTTAATTAGTTGCCTATTATGCTTTCCTGTGGGGGTGTGTGTTCCCTGCAGATGGTTAAGCTGAATTAGCTGTTTTGTTTATAAATATGTTGGCCAAATCAGTTGTTTTGTATGTAAATATGTTTTGCTAGATTAGGTGTTTATTTCATGTGCACATTTTAATTACGCTTTGAAAGAAATTTGTTTAAAACTTTACACACACACACACAAAATATTGTGTTACCGGGTGTTTATCGCTCGGCATGATGTCCTGGTGGTGTTAAAACGTTAAGTCAGTCATCATCAATATAGCTGGTATTTTTAGACCCACCAAACACATATCACCAATATCCAAAACTAAATTAACAGTGGCCTTCTCCCCTACTGGGTTCTTTTCTGCCTGCCTTTCTCCTCCTCTCTGTCTGATGTTGGTGTAGTTTTTTTTTTTTTAAACCACACATATATATAGCAGAGGAATGGGGTACTGTCAAAAGACTAAGCATAATCTAAACAGCTGTCCGTACTGGTGGCAGAGCACCTATGGTTTATAACCGTGTGCAATGACGCTGGTTCTTATCTATCGACTTTACCTTTACCTTACGTCAGTCACAACTGGATGTCTCTCTCTAGCCAAATGTGCTTTCATAGACAATACATCTTTAGTGCCTTGAGTGCACGCACTACTGTGGAGATTCATCTGCATTTTCTGGCTAATGTACCTTTCACCAACGCTCTCTCCAGGCCACCATTTTTTAATCCTATGGTATAAAACAAATCCTGGTTACTTATATTTGATAAAGGCATCTCCGTGTGGGTTCCGGGGCCTCAATGTGGGAGAAAACAAGAATAGATTCACTGCTTGCCCATAAGCATGTCGTAAGAGTAAACTAAATGGGAGCATACTTCAAAGTCGCTGTACATCTGCCTGAGAGGCAAGGAACTAGTAGTCTGCATACAACACTCAGTTGCTGGAACATAACTAATCCAGAAATGGACGAAGAACCAGAACTTTCAGCTAGAGTTTACAGCTGGTGAACAGGAGGAAGAAGAAAGATGATGAAGGCAATCATAATAATACATGGAACAAAATAGCAGGGATACATTAAGATTGTAGATACAGTGTGAACGTGATAAGGAGAACAAACCAGGGACTCCAGAAATTGTTCTTATAAAAAAAATGTCTCTTATCTAAAAAGTTCAAGCAAGAAAAATTGCTGTTATAACAATTTTTGTAAACGATGGAAATTAGCCACATCTTTAAGTGATTTGCACTGTATTTGGAGCAAATGATCAAGGAGATATCAACATAATAGATATTAGCATTATAAATGGGTTGGGGGTGGGGGTAAGTGTATCAAGATGATTGGCAGTACATAACAGAAGGCTGGGGTCAGAAATGACAAAGTGTTTAGGAAAAGAAAAACCTCCTGAATTAAGTGGTGCAGTATAATTATTAGATGGGTTCTTATTGAGCAATGATGCACGATACTTTAATGTTTCCTGCTCAAGCCTACATCACCTTCACATGGCGGACCCTGTTCTGTCCACTAATCTAGTGAAGGGTTATGGTTTCAACCCCCAGAAGGAAACTGTATATTTCAAGAAACAGGATGAAGGCGAAATCCAGTTCCCTAGCCACCTAAGTTAAATGCATGGTGCAACACTGAGTTTCAGCGAGAATGCTTATTGTCTGTGGTTCCAGAGCTGGTTGTACACTGCATAAGAAATGGTTGCCAAAGAATTAGTGGTGTACCTTATACATCAATGTTTGTGTAACTGCTGGTGCGTCATGAGTGCTGCTTCCATCAGTCCTAGTGACAGACTGCAGGTGTTGGCACCTTTGGTGGGCGACTTTGGTTATGTGCGAACTGCTGGATTTTTTTTTGCATAGAACAATACAATTGGAATGTCTGTACTGGAACCCACAGGGACATAAAAAATAAAGAAAGTAAAAAAAAAAAAAAAAAAACTCATGGAGAAGAAAGCTAGATAGTAGTTAAAAAAGATGCAAAGATGCGCAAAAGATTCTCTCTAGGTGGGCAAACCATTTTATTTGCTGTCTTTGTATGTAATTTAGAATTGGATCTGTACTAACTTTTCTTGTATGACCTCATTCCTGATTTTATCCCTTCCCAGATATCTCTTTTCCATCCATTGTTTTGTATGAGATGTTTCCTTGTGCTAATTGGGATTGTCTTATGTTGTCCAGATAGATCATAATCGTGTTAAAATGTTTCAGAAGATGCACAAACCAACTAACTAAACATAGCTAACAACATCCTTTGTCTTCTTCTTCAGCATTCTGAGCCCTTAAGGTTCATTGCTGCATATATCACCCGCCTCCATTCATCTCTCTGGTTGGCCTTCTCTTTCCAGTTGGTGACACCAAGTGCTTGCAGGTCTGTCTGGACATTATCTCTCCATTGTCTTCTTGGTCTGCCTCGTGGTCTACCACCATTCATTTCCCTTGTGTATACAGTTTTTACTTCTATGTCATCTGACATTCTTTCAATATGCCACAACCATTTTAGTCTATTAGCTCTCATGATGCCAGTGATCAATGGTGATCTAAACAGAAAATGAATTTCATTGTTGCTTCTCACTTTCATTTCCCCACTGTCTGTGTCATTGATGGGTCCAAAGATTCGTCATAAGACCTGTAATAAGGCTTCATCCCTTTCAGTTGTGCTCCAAGTTCAAAGTCATTTAAAATGACTGGTCTTATCAACATTTTATTTATTTTGATCTTGGTGTTGCGAGATGGAAAACTTTGACTTCAGCAGATGTTGAATGGCATAGTATACTTTGTTTCCAGAGTGTATTTTTTTTTTTTTGCATCCAAGTACTTATACGTTTCCGTTAGTTTAATCTTCAACAATATCCACAGCTAATAAATGAAATAAGTCGAATTGTGTTTCTGTCACATAATTATAATATTCATCGACACCTAATCACAATATAAATTAATGGATGCACACACACATACATGTGGCCTTATATTTACAAAACACACATACAATTACATGAACCACTCAGACAATTTGATTGGCCTCACATTGTTAAGCTGACAGTAATACAGGTGCAGTACAAAGTCTCCATAAACAGATAGAATTCACAGCTCTACATACACCAATCATTCAATTCCAGGAATGACTTTTTGTTGAGGACTAGATGAGGAAATCCCTTTAAACTGTAGGTCTACCAGCTTAGCAAAAGTTTATCAAGCTAAGGATCATTTTCATGGCAGACTGGGCATATGATGGTAGTTTTTTTTTTTTTTTTTTTAAATTAGATTAATTATCTGCCCCCCCCCCCCTTTTTTACACCTCAATAAATTTCAGTCTCCACACAGAATGATCAACCCTTTAATAAAAGAATCCTCAAAAATATAAATGCACTAAATAACAAGAAATTAAATCATCTATCTCAAAATACAGATTTTGTAGCACTGCTGACTATAAACTCATCAGTCAGACAAATTAACGATAAGCTTATGATGATCAATCAGATGTCATCTCCACAATGCAAGTTGGCAGCAATGGATCTCTGACTGTCACCCTAGAAGTATTCTATCAGACTAAACGCTGTCCACCAATTGATGCCCTCCTATACGCATTGATTGCCTACCCCATGCTAGCACAAATTCAACTATTCGCTTTTGTATAATCATAAATGTTGTTGTCATCCAATATGACCAAAACATTTTGTTTGTTATCTGCTGTGCTATCTCTGATGACAACAAACATCCACAACCTATGTTCGGGACTCATGTACTGATGATGGTGATGGTAAACCAAGAGCTGTGACCTAGCCGCGTGTGTATTTCCCCCAGATGTGCAGCATGAACACAGACGCAATGAAGATGAGGCTCATGACAAGTACTGGAACTGGGCCCCTGAAAAATGAAGTAAAGTCAATGTTAAGTTTCATACAAGGGAAGTACAGTTAACTATGTAATGTCAGGTGTATGCTTAAGTACGGTTAACTATGCAATGTCAGATGTATGTTAAGTACATTTAACAATGTAACTACAGTTAACCTTGTAATGTCAGATGTATGCTTAAGTACAGCTGACTTTAAAAGGATGGTTAACTATGCAGTCTCAGATTTATTTGGAAACAACAGCGTATGGCTTCTGCATTTACCTGAAAAGGGTATTTGGGTGCACTGTGTGGTTTACAGCCAAGCTGCAATATATGTATCTTGTCCAAAAGCATCTAATTTCAGCAAACACGTTTTTAAATGTCATTCTCAATAGGCAGCAATCAGTCACCCCCCCCCCCCCCCCCCCCCCAATCACACAAATGGAGCCCCAGAATCCTTATACAGATGCAGCTTAAGCCATATGCTGAATAATGCCAGCAATAAATTGTAAATATCGATTTGTGACACTGTGTATCTTCTGTGCTGAAATTTATTATGGAAAAATATTGCTTTTATACAGATCTACATTAGGTAAACTGACTGTGAAACATCTTTTATTTTTCACTGTTAGGACAGTGTAGAACAGGGTGGTCATGTGCCTGAAGATTTAGGACTGCAACGTTAGTTCAGTTTTCATGAAGGATATCGGTTGAATCTATTCCCCCCCCCCCCCCCCCCCCTCAAATAAAAATGCCCAATGCCTTACCAAGAATTTGAAACTGTCTCCCACATAAGAGTTCAGCATTCTAGTAGCTCAATCAATGTTCCTTTGCTCAGGCAGATGCTCCTACACTAGATGACTCACCATAAATCAATCAGCTATTCTTATTTGATAGAGCATTCTGTTACCCCTTCAGTTACTTTACTGTAACAATTTGCCAGTCTCTTCAATGCATAAGATCCTGTTTTATAATAATTGATTTCTGAAATAATCCTGCTTGTAAGTCAACTGGTTATGTATTGCTTTTGCAAGAACTGTCATGGCTAAAGCTTTTTGAAAGATGAAATACTTCCCCCCCCCCCCCCAAATCTGGGCCGCAGACTTTGAGAATAATATGCAAGGAGAGGAGTGGGCCAAAATGGCCAAGCAACAATTAGACTTGTGTAGGGTTCTAATCACACTAGGCAGGTAATGCAGGGACGGGCCAGTGGGCTATGCAGAATCAGAAGTTCAACAACTGGTTAATGACAACTCCCATCCAGGTGACATGATTATCTAAACAAATGGCTCTGTGTTGGCAGACAGAAGACGAGCCTCAGGGTTCATAGCTAAAGCTAATGGACAACTCTAAGTGTTTATACACCAAAGTCTAGTATACAATACCATATCAAGTTTCAGAATGGAGGCGGAGGCAGTCCCTACAGCCTTCGGCTCCCTTGAGCACTGGTTATACACATATGTCATGACTGTAACAGGCTCACATAGCATACTGAGAAAGGTGAAGATAGATATGCCCCATGCAAAGTGGCAGACACTGCTTCAGAGGCCCGGGTAGTAAGCATTTTTTGAATACTAACACTCTCTTCTCCAGGTCATACATCTGTGTTAGGAAATAAACAGGCAGACAAATGGGCTGGTTCTGCACCGTTTAGAGGTAAAATGATTCCTGACAAACTAGATGCTATCAGGGTCCATTGGGTGCAAGTGAACAGCGTGGAAGCACAAACAGATCTACGACGCTAACACTATTGCATGCTCTCGGAGTGAATCCTGGTAAAGCACATCTGTGCCACAATCAGAACCAAGATAGGAGACTGTAACCAACTTCTCATAGAAAACATAAAAGAGATGGTACTCATGAAAGGGGAAGCAGCATCAGAGGACTGATGCCTGCATGGAGATACCCAATTTGCAGTGACAATGATTGTGATAAGACAACATAAACAGATCAGTCTGGACATTTGGTGCAACAGAAAATTACCAGGGAACTTGGCTGCCAATCAAAAGAAAGACAGGCATACATCCTTTCACTTCCGGTCAAAATGGACATTAGGCAGCGGCACTGTTCGAAACAGAGGCAAATTTTTTGCTTCTGCCGGACGGTGGCCGATGCAATTTTGCTCCATTTGTAGACTTCTGAGTTGAATGCATGGCATGACCCTATGAGCTGCGGATTGCATTTGGAATGTTTTTTCTACTGTGACCAACGTGTTGGTGTGAATTGTAAATTCAGAAAATGGCGCCATGCCTGTCGTGCAGTGTTGTGGTGCCCGTATGTGATTTAAAATTGATCGCGTTGGCAACTGCTGATCTGTTGGCCACTTCTGCTACCATCAATGATGAACTGCAATTCTAATACTGTGATAAACATTCTGTGTGTTTTTCGTTGGCACAGGAGCGGAGCATAGATGGGGTGACCCGTTTGCTATGAAGCTGAAACTACCAGACCTTTCAGGCTGCTACTGGCATTATCAGAATTAAAATTCTGCTCCAACTGCTGAAGATAGGAACACAGCGGATATGGGAATGTCCCAGATGTTGGTTCTTAAATCAACTCAATCGTTACAAATAGTTCCATTTTATGAAGAATAGGCTGCTCACCCTAGCATTCCAATTGTTTCTGTTTATCTCTGACGGAACAATCTTATCTAGAAGCCACAGCCAGGGACCTAATCCATGGCCTCCTGCAGGGCGTATCTGTTGACTAGGGGACAACTGCCCAGAACATGTCCTGCACATGAAGAGCGTACTTACACTTTAATTCCTGGGGAATCCTCGGTGTAGAAGCGCCACATGCCAGCACTGCTGCCGGCAGTTTTCCTGGAGCCACTACTGTTTGACGCTGGAGCTTTTCTAAACAAAAACAAACAAAAAAATGTTTAATTTCAAAAGTACAGGTTTTTATGTTACTCTTAGCACCAAGCATATCTTACTCTTAACTCACTGAGTTCTAACCAAACATCATCATCCTGTCATGCTTTCATATATCACAAGACTCGCAGTCCAGCCTACATTCTTGATGTTTTAAAAGCTACTTTGACATTATAATTTACCCACTGAGAATATTAAAAAGTCACAGAGTTACAGGATGAGTCACTCAATACATATCTTTAGAACACAGGAAATGAATTCTAATGCTTCATTCAAACCAGGTTTATTCCCTTTATATATTTTTGAGAAAAAGCTAATGTAGATAATTAACTTTTTTACAAATCTATTAGTGAACTGCATAACACTGAGCGCTCACAGGGGAAACGATTCAACATGACAACGTCCACCCACATAATGTCCCATTATGTGAGTAGGTCTGGATTCGGTGAAAGTATACAACCCAGATTTTTATATTTCACCTGAGCTCCAATGCTGACCTAGTTTAGAATAGGTAATAGGAAATGTACTGGAGAGCAAAGACAGCCAGCATGTTACTGAGCGCACACTGTAACAAGTGCCAGCTGGTGGATGAATAAGTGGATCCAGCACCACATACCATATTAGAATAGGAAGAGTCCTTTACTTTCAACCAGCATAAAGTTGCAATGACTGCCTCTACCTCCATTCGCAAATCAGATGATACTCTTGCACTAAGCCAGGTCCATTTTACTTTCTTCTTCTTAGAACAAGAGAAATCTATATAATCACATCACCTGGGCAGGAATGGTACAATAGAATCACTAATGTGCTGCTCTGGGAGAGAAAAAATTCCAATGAACCGAATGTAAGGAAAAGTGACTGACTAGCATTTGATAGAACACACAATGAGAAAATGAGATACCAATGCAAACTATTAATCTGGTAATCTTAGTTTCAGCTTCATAGCAAATGGGTCACCCCCCTTGTTGCACTGCTCCTGTGCCAACGAAAAACACACAGAATGTTTATCGCATTCCCTTGTGGAAAGATTGACAGACTGCTGTCTCAGCATTTGCAATAGCATACACATTAAAAGCATACAGTAGCCCTCCGAAGTGCTAACACAGTCTAACATTAGAAATGCAGTTCATCATGGATGGTAGCAGAAGTCACCAATAGATCAGCAGTTGCACAATGAATCAATTTTAATCACATAATGACACCACCAATATTGCGACAACAGGTATCGTGCCATTTTCTAAATGTACAATTCACACCACCACGTTGGTCACAGTAGAAAAACATTCCAAATGAAATCAGCAGCTCACAGTGTCCCGCCCTACACTCAACTCAGAAGCTGGGCAACAAAACTATCCTTTCAGTCTACAATTTCTTGGGGATTTGGGCAGAATAATAAGAATCAGACCAGTGCAATATTGACCACACAACCTGTTCAAAAATATGTATGTCTAAATCAAGGTGGGAAGCAAAGACATACTTTGTACATGAAATCTATGCGAGTCTTTTACTTTTACCTTTGCCTCACTGTAGATCCTCCACCAGATGCCCTGGGTGAAACTGACTTTGAAGGTCCCCCTCGGCCACCACCAACTGATGTAGAACTTGCTGCAGGCTGTGGAATATGAAGGTTTTCTGTAATTTTAGCAGGCGGAACTCTCATACACTCAATAAAGTTTAGTCTAAACTAAAGCATCAGTTCAGTACCATAAAAACTAAAAGTGGTGTATATGTCACATAAACCACTTTTAATTGAGTACAGGCTAAAATTAATTTAAGCTCTCCTTCAAACTTCTACCCCCATATTATAGGGCCAAACAAACACCCTAACAGTGCCTCAGTCATGTATAAAATGCGGACTTCCTCTACAGAACACATCGCAGCAAAACTAGGATTACTTGACAATGTCACGACACGCAACACTGCAGAGGATAGTAGCAGACGAGAATAGCAACTGTTGACAATTTCAAGCGTTTCGCCAGATGATACTAGCGACCATAAACAATTTCGAGACATGCAACATTACAGAACATAATATGGAGATGGCGGGGACCATGCGCTTCGACGCAGATTAGCGATAGTGTTCTTCCGATTAAACTCACCGCCGAGTGTATTCCCCGCGCCACTGGTGGGGATCTAAACTAGATGCCTGGGACTCACGATCAAATAAATTGGGGGAAGTTGCAGTAGCTGCTGCTCGTGAGCCCCCCATCCGCGCTGCGCGTAGTGGCGCGGGGGATACTGTCGACGGTGCAGCATAGTTGGAGAATCAGGTCCGCAATTAACATATCGCTGAGTCATTCGGAGCCGATCCTAGTTTTGCAGCAATTTTTTCCTCGGCAGGAACTCAGCATTTTGCAAAGGACTGAGGCCCTGTTAGGGTATTTGTTTGGCCGCCATAATATGGGTTAGAAGTTCGAAGGAGAGCCTTAATTGGCTATCCTCCGAACAACGGTCCCACTACCAACTACCGCCACGAGTATCTCCCGCTCCGCTATTCACGGAGTGGGGCTAAACTAGAAGGCTGGGACTCACAAGCAAATAAAAGGAAGCAAGCTGCAGGAGATGGATAGACAAAATTACACAAAAGTCCTTGTAAGGACTAAGCATCATTAGCTAGAAACCAAGGTCGTACCAAGACAGAGCGGAAAAAGAGACAGGAAGAATAGAAGCCAAAAACAACCAAGCAGAAGACTCGCAAGATGACGATAGGATAGAACCGAAAATACAACATCCAGATGTGTCCTGACATAGTCGGGATCGAAACAAAGTGACACAACAAAGAAAAAGAAGACCCATGCCTCCGTATACAACAGCACCAGGTATAAACAACTCTATACAAGGAAGAAGCAGCATCAATTAAACCGTCTAGAACAAAACGACAAAATAGAACCAAATGAAACCATTTTTGAACCAGTCATACACAATAAAGATGGCAACTATAGGCATCAGCTAAAAATAGCTGAAAAAGTCTGAACGAGATCAAATTATCTTTTTTCTTTTATAAGAAGCAAGCAAGGAGATGCGGTAGCTGCTGCTCGTGAGTCCTAGCCATCTAGTTTAGCCCTGCTCCACACCGTACGTAGCGGCACAGGAGATACTCTCGGCGGTGGTGGTAGTCCGCAATTTAAGTCGCAGGAAGTCCCCAATTTACATGTGACTGAGGCCCTGTTAGGGAATATTATCAGCCTTGAGAATTTGGGTCTGTTATTCGGAGGATAGCCCCTTAATTTGTTTCAATGAATGATTTTATAAACAATTTTCTCTGTAATTTCTCAAAAATTAAAAGATTTACTTTGCAGACTTTGCTTTAATTTTTCACTATTCTAGGGAATTTGAATTGAATTAGTAAATTAAATTTAAAATCTGAATATAGATTCTGATTATTGTTGCCTGTGTGGATTCCGGAGCCCTATTATGGGGAAAACAAGGGCTCTCCTCCGAACTTCTACTCCCGCATTATGGCGGCAACAAATATCCGTACTGGGCTCAGTTTTATTAAAAATATGCGAACTTCCGGCGACAAACGAATCGCGGCAAAACTAGGATTACCTGACAATTTCAAGAGACGCAAAACTGCAGACGATAGTAGTAAACGATACTAGCTACTATGAACAATTTCCAGACACGCAACATTACTGACGATAAAAGCCACATGACGGGAAGTCCACGTGCACCGAGATTAGCGTTGTTGTCCTCAAACATGTCGGCATGCGCAAAACGCGGTTACACTCACCGCCGACAGTATACCCCACGCGGCGCGGATGGGGGGGCTAAACTAGGTGCCTGGGACTCACGGGCAAATTAAGTTGCAGGAGATGCGGTAGCTGCTGCTTGTGGGTCCCAGCCATCTAGTTTAGCCCACATCCGCGCCGCGCGTAGCGGCGCGGGGGATACGGTCGGCAGTGTGGCATAGTCACAGACACAGGTCTGCAAGTAACATATCGCGGAGACCCTGTTAGAGCATTTGTTTCGTTATATGGAGCCGGTATATTTTTAATAGAAATGACTGAGCCCCATACGGATATTTGTTGCCGCCATACTGCGGGGGTAGAAGTTCGGAGGAGAGCCAAAACAAGAATAGAGCCACTGACTACCCAAAAGCATGTCGTAAGAGTCGACTAATTGGGAGCTTCCTTCGAAGTCAAAGTGCCTGAGAGGCAAGGAACCAGCATTCTGCATACAAATGATTCGGATCTGTAAAGCGGATACACACGCAACAAGAACAACCAGAACTTTCCGGCGGAGTTTTTTACAGCCGGTGAGGTGAACGAAGTACCTACTCAACTGTGTTCAAATGTTATTCCTCATATCATAGTAGTCATAGTGGTGTGATTAAACGAAGTGAAAAATTCGATCAACGTGTAAGCTGTCCAATTAATAAAGTGCAATGTTAGCAATAATAGACATAAGGAGAACTCACAAGAGCCATCCTTGCAGTTGTACGCAGAGAGTTGACGTCGTGTAGAGACTAAATTAGACAAGAGAATTAGAAACGCCGAGGATTACTTCCGTGACACGTCTCAAGCTGGCTTGTATTGCTTCCGGCTAGGTCAGAACCCAATTTATGATGACGTCAAATTAAACTCTTCAGTACCAATTAATGAGTTTCTATCTATTCATGCGTTGTTTCTTGGTAACTGTCATTCCACAATGGGAATTTATTTTTAACACTCTGTTGTAAGTAAAGGACCTTTTCCACGTCTTCGAGAATATTGGGCTTATAGGGTTCGATCTATATAGACCAGTCGGCACTTGCTGGGTGATCTGGTCAGCATCACGTCAGTCGCCTTTAGGCCTACTTGCCAGAACGTCACCTGATACCCATTTAAGGCTGGATCGATCTAAGAAACAAAAGTATTTTTTTAAAGTCTGGTACCACCAAGACCCGAACCAACGACCTTCCGATCCGCAGGTGAGTGGCTAGCCGCTACACCACAGGGTTTCCCTTTATTGTAGGTAAGTAAGAAAATGACAGTTTTTACACCATATAGTGCTAGACTTATATTTTAAGACCAATCGGCACTCGTTGGTCACTTGCACAATATCATACCGGCCACCTTTATTTGCCTGGTAATTCTCTGGTTCCCAGTTCCTGTTAGGTCAAGGTGGTAGCCAGGGTCAATTTTGAAGGAAAAATATCCTCGATGGGGCGTGAAATATTACACCTCTAGGTCGACGGTCTACGACGCTATCTATAATCATCCTAACTATAACCCAAATAAACCTAAAAAAAAAAATAAATAAAAAGTGCAAGCAAGCTAATAACAAAAATTGAATCCAATAAACTGTGACTGAAAGCTTAACGAAAGTGGGAGGAGAACAACGTACCCTAAACAGACAAATCGACGATTCGGCCATGACCTTTCTTGATATGAACTAACCACGCAACAACAATGACAAATCGTCGTTGTTGTGTAGTTAATGTCGAGAAAAGCCACGGAAAGTTCAGTGGATTAACCCAAATCAAAGCAATAATTGAAACAAAACAAGTTACATTTTTATCTGAAATAAACCCTTACACAATATATAAAACAAACAAAAATGTATACTTTGAGAGCTCGATGAACATCATGTATCCTGATTTTAACCCTGATATTTGAATAGGATGAAACCTTTTATGGTTCAACTGACAAGAAAGTGACTACCATCAGGCTCTGGGGAGAGCTTCGAGCACGGAAGGGCACGTAGGACGCCTTGGTGATCTACTGCCCCTAGGTCCATTTCCAGTCGTCTCCACATTGTTCTGCCATTGGATCAAGATGGACACAGGCGAGAGAGTGAGGTCGACGAATTGCGCAACTCTTCCTCACTTAAATCTAAGCTTTTGCATAAGTCACTTTCAACCAATTGTTTCTACTTTAGGTGAAAAGTCGTCTTTATCATTCGTGATGGACAAACAACAACACTAGTGAACAGTTCCCAAGAGCTAACCATTGCCATATAGTCCTTTACCTCCCCCCCCCCCTCCCGTTTTTTTAAACACAGTCACGTTACTGGACATTTTCTCTCTAATGAGATCTGTCTTTATGGCCCTGTCACTGCAGTGTCAGGCAGAAGTTCCCTTGGTCTTGGCTCCTGTGCCTGCCGGGGTCGTCGATTATCCCCCATTCTCCATACAGTCCAACCCATCGTAAATGTGACTGATCCACTCGAGTTTGTAAGATCTCAGTTTCAAGGTCATGACGTAATGTCCCTTCTTATCACTCGACCACCTTTCTTAGATACCTCATTTCTAAAGCCTCAAGCTGGCTTCTATGAGTTTTTGTCATTACCCATAACTTACAACAATATATAAGTACACCGGTGTACAACTATTTTTATCTACTTGCTAATTTATCTTTTGCTAAAAAAACCTTAGCGGTTTTGGAAACATAGAAGGGACAATTTTCAAGCGAGAGACACCTTGCGAGAGAACCATTAGGATGTTGCAATCTGTATATAAAATTGAGGCAATTATTATACATTTTGAATATTCATTATCGTCCGTTTGTGCTGTTCTATGTCTCAGGGCTCGCAGCCTACTCCTCTATCTATATGAGTGCCGCCACGAAGTAAACAGGACACTTAAAGCTCCCCCCCCCCCACCCCTTGTCCTAATAAAAACACAACACGAAGCACTGGCTTATTGTTATTATAAGTTAGCTCCGGCTCCGCTGTCTGAAGACAGAAATCGGACCCTAATACTCGAAGATCGTGAAATTGTTAACGTTTTCGAGAACCTAAAGGCCACAGAACCGCACATTAGAAATAACACATCTATGTATATTATTACAGTTTCTCATCAAATTAAATTAATTAATTTTTTTTTATAACCTACATTTTTTTAAAAGATTTCAAATCGAGAAGATCGACAGCATTGCACCAGTAATGTTTTTCATAACACCCAGCCTCTTTTTTGCAGAACGACTAGATGCTTGCTGATAGCATCACACTAAGTACGAACTCACTAACTTCAGCGATCTTCTTCTTTTCCGTTCGCTGGTTAAAAGGCAGGTTGGCACGTGATTTTGTTTAGAGTTAGTCCCAAAAGGATCATAAAGATTGCAATTTCAACACCAAAATAAAAGAAGAAGACGAAGAAGAAAAAGAAGAAGAAGAAGAAGAAGAAGAAGAAGAAGAAGAAGAAGAAGAAGAAGAAGAAGAAGAAGAAACACGAGCATGACGAACTATGAGGCACATTTTTACAGCAGTAGGGGGACACTATTTAGAAAAAAAAATATATTTTCTATATTCGTCAGTTGTGTCCCTTTGCCTAAAAGCTCTGTGATCTAATCCAATAAAACAGCTTTTGATACTTGCAAGTTTCTAGAAGGTTCCAAAATGTCTTGTTTTAATGCATCCTATAAGAAAGTCAATAGTTGTCCTGTCTTTTTTAGCTTTACCTTGCAACAGCAAATACACAAAAAATTACCATTTGACGTACCAGTTTCAACATTTGATTTGTCCTGGGTTTGCCGACGATGACTAGCAAGCAGATAAAAAGTGGCACAGGTCATGGCGTACATGAGGGTATCGGCAGACGTTAAACACCCACTGCACAAAGCTATACACGACACCAAAGGAACGCGTCTCAAAAGAGGCCGCTCTTGGATGGCAAAGACTGAGGATTTAATCCAGCAGGTATGTGACCTAGACGTGATCAGTCACGGAAAAGAATGGACGAATACACCAGTAGACATGCATGGCATCTCTAAGGTAGTCAGCACACTAGGAAGGTACTGCAAGGATCAGATTCCTGCGGCCGTAGACACAGAAGTAAGGGAACTGATAGATCAGTATTCAGACCCAGAAGATATAATCATCTAAACGGATGGATCCGCGAAGCGCGGATCATGGTCGGCATGGGCATACACAGCGCAAAGAAGGGGGGGGGGGGGGGGAACAATACATGAGGACAGCGGCGTTTACATGATAACGACGTCAAGCATGACCATGGAAATATCCCCTGCTTCTAGAGCTTTAACATGGGTATCCGAGCAAATCGCCACACATGCAGTTATTGTATCACTCCATGAAAATACTTCAGAAGATAGCAACAGGCGGTTTGAGCTCTGAATGGGTAGAAAGCATTCTAGAATCGCACTTAACCCCCGTAACCTGGATCTACACACCGGGTCATGCAAGCGTAAAGGGAAATGAGCAAGCGGACCAGCTGGCAATCACTGCACTAAGGATTGCGGGAAAAAGCATGGACAGGGCAGATATCGTCAATACTGTACTGGGCTAGTGGATAATCAGGAATTCCTGACACTAACACGATTGCGTGACATAGGAGTAAAACATGGTGAAGCACTTCTTTGCCGTCTTCGAGGCCAAGATAGGAGACAATATAAGCAAATTCTCATGGGAACAATTAGTAGAGAAGTACTTTGGAGTGGCTGCTGCCTCGGATGACTGAGCACGCATGGGAATGCACAATGTGCATTGACGTCGATTGTGATAACTTTACATAACATAACATCTTGTAGGGAGTCGGCAGTCAGAAACCCAAGTTCAATGTGTCTCCTTTGTGCCAAAGAACTGCATGGCTGTTGGGTGAACAGTCGTTAACGAAGGCAGTCAGGTCGTTGTAGGGACGACGCTGGCTGGTGGATGTAATGTCCTAAGTCCCTTCCCCAGCTAATAGTGTCTTCCAAACACCAAGGTTGAGGGCGGAAATCCAGTAGAGGCATTGGGTACTTCCCGGTAGGCGAATAGTGCTGCAGACAGATACTAGTCCCACCTCTCTGGATTTTCCTTGGTTAATATTCTCAGAAGCGATACCAACGTTCCATTGAACCGCTCATTCTGGCCGTTCGCTTGGGTCGGTATGGACTGGTGGAAATGTGTTGAGATTTAATTATCTGAAAAACTTCCTCCATTAATTTCTCTCGGAACTGAGATCCATTGTCTGTCAGTATCTGCGAAGGGAATCCCACTCTTGTGAAGATGCTTACCAATGCCTCTGCCACAGTCTTACTGTCGATCTTCCGAAGAGCGATAGCCTCCTGCCAAGCCGAACAACAGTCTACCAAGGTCAAGATGTAAGCATTCTTCTTCTTTGTGAGAGGAAGTGGTCACACCTGATCGACCGCCACCCTCTCAAAAGGCGTGGAGTTGACAGGAGTTTCCCCCAATCCGACTGGTGTCTTCCTGCCTTTAGGTGCCACCTTCTGACACTCCGGACAGGATTTGACATAACGCATAATATCTGCTGACATACCTAGCCAAAAGTAATGACAGGCAATGCGTTGTGTCGTTGCATGAATTCCCATGTGGGCACTGTAGGCTATAGTGTGTCCCATCTGGAGAATCTGCTGTCTATATGTTTCAGGTACCACTAGCTGACTGTGTTCTGTATACTTGTCACCTGCCCACCAATAAAGTATCTTACCTTTAATGAAGAATTCTTTCTTCTGAGGAAGATTGTGACTTGCAGTTAACTTTTTA